CTTCCTTTGTTTTGGGCAGTCTCATAGGCAGGACCCGCGCGCGGGAAAGGCGTCCGGGGTTTATACATAGGCATATAGGAATCAAATCATTTTCTGTGTAACGTGGTGCGTCTCTCTGTGTGTGCCGTGGGCTCTCGGTCTCTGGATCTAGATGTATCCCGTATGGTTGGCTGTATTCCTTTAATCTGGCCTGGGGGATTATGTTGGCGAAACGACACGCAAGTCTCCAAGATGGGTTATCCTGGACGCGACCGATTATTAGCCTGAAGCTTATGGGGGGGTTTTCGAGCGCTGGGATTGTTTCAGGATTCCAGGATTCTGTCCTGAGTTTTTGGCGAGGAATTGGGATCAGGGCGTGGACAGGTTTGCTGCAGTCTTTTGTTTCGGGGGAGGCTGGATCATCCTCGTCGTTTCTTTCTATTATTGAGCTGTCGCCAAGATTACCCCAGCCCAATTACGAGCATGTACTCTCCTCAACGTGCACGGATAGGAAATTCACCTAGATGGAGGATGGCCACCGCGCGACGGACGGGACCTAAGATAGGGCGCAGCTTAAGACGGTGATGATGCAAGAACTGTGGCAAACTGAATCACGGATGGAAGCTTACGGACGGGGGATTGACCTCCCCGACTGGCCCTACGGCTTACTGTCTGCTTTGTTCGGCGCGGACGGTGATCGACGTGCTAGGTTGCTGTCAGAGGCGGGTAGGACGGTAAGTCGGGGCCGAGGCATCCACCGTGGGAAGAAGATGGATGAAGCTTCGTCTTAGCCTCTTCCTACGGACGGCAGTGCGCGGCTTCGGGTGAAAGGGTATTGATTGATTGATTAATTAAGCTACAGGGGAAGATAGGCCGATTTCTGAAGGGTCTGGGCGAGGGGGATTTGGCCCCAGGGCATCAGGTATTGCAGATACAGCCCTCATCCATGTTGTAGATTATGATGTTTATCTCTTTATTGATGAAGAGTCTATTTTTTTCTTACCGCGCGCTTTTGATCTCGACTCCAATTCCCCCCCACGTTCCATGATCTTGCTCAAGTTGGGGGTTGACGGGGGCCTGCTTCATGTACCTTACCTACTAGATGTAGGATGCAACGCGGTCTCGAACGTTGTAACTGAAGAACCAGCTCCCTGCCCTTTTGCTTTCACCTCTTTCTCTTCAGAATTTTCTTTCACAAGCACGCAACGAGTCCTGGGCTCTGATTGCGCAAGTATGCCCATGTGTTGACGAGGGGCCTGGAGAATGCTTGCATGTAGCTCTCTGGCAGGGTCACCCATGACCGTTGGTCCATGCATTGACTGCTGCTACTTCATCCCGTCTTTGTCATTGCTTGGAAAGCAAGATTGCACGATCTTGTGAAGCAACCCTACAAATCAGTTGTTTCACTTCTGCCTCTCCGCTTGGCTTTTTCTTGTTTCTATTAATTGGGGTACGTGGGCATGCATCTGCGTGCACATCACATGCATGCCAAGGAGAAAAAAAGAAAAGTGAGGGAAGTTAGAAATAGGAGTAAAGATAGATGATAAAGTAGGTCAAGGATAAAAAAACAAAAAAGAATCACACAGCATTAGCGGCTCGTGAAACAAAAGACGTAACGAATGAGCCATTCACTTTGCTGAGGGCTGTCCTTGGGCGACAAAATTTTGGATTTTGCCCACTGCGACGTGACAGGGGCAGTTTGAGGTGACATACCGACCGTTTCGAGAGGGCTGTTCATCCAATGTCAGAAAAAATGGCCAGATTATCATCCATATCTTTGGGAGTGCTAATATTCGAGGTCCCTATTATTGATCGAGACGGGACGGTACCTACTCAGAGCCGTTAGGTCTAGACTGGCAGATATCTGACGTGGGGACGGCACTGGATGAAACATTGCATGTTGCGAGAGATAAGAAGTCGACAAAGGGACCAGGCTATTCCTTCTGGGATTTGTACCTACCTTACTTATCAAAGTGCCTTTTTTTCGACCCCCAAAGTTCCCGAGGCTATCCCCTGATCAGAAAGAAGCTTTGAAAGCGATTATCAAGCTTGGCACCCCATCATGGGCCCTTGCCTATACGCAGTAGATTTGGGCAACAAGCTTTGACGGGCCCTGCCATGTGAAGAATGGCACTTTTGAGTGGGCAATATGTGAGTTGATCTATGCACGAAAGGAAGGATGTGGCGGGCGGACCGTGTTTGGGCCACTGAGCTATTAGTCGTAACGTGGCTATGCGATTGGTGTTGAGACGACTTACTTGCGTTAGGATCAGAACAACAACCCCCTGACAATTAATGAAGGCCACGTTGGGCATGGGGCACTGGCTTGGTTTGCCGACATTAGCACGGTAGTAGAAGAGGCCGGTAGTGCGGATGAATGCAGGCATTGGTCGGCCGCCGTATCTTGGACTTGATGCGTGAGTGAAGCCAGACTCACTCTACCCATTTCAGAGTTTGGCCGAGGAGAGTGGTGCTTGACGTATGACAGGAGTAGTGACCTATCGGTCCTATCCAACTGGGGCTAGGGGCTTATAAAGTGAGAGAATCTACTGTTGAGCAAGACAGCAGGAGAATAGCAGTAGCAAGACGAGGAGGCATTGTTAATATCGTATGACAGGAGTGGGAATCTATCGGTCCTATCCAACTGTCAGTAGTGGTAATCTATCGGTCCTATCCAACTGTCAGTAGTGGTAATCTATCGGTCCTATCCAACTGTCAATACTGGTAATCTATCGGTCCTATCCAACTGGGGCTAGAAGCTTGCAAAGACGAGAATCCACTGATTGAGCAAGGCAGCAGGAGAACAATACCTACGCAGGTGAGAGAGTTTTCAAACAGTGGCCTAACAGAGGTCTTACAGGCTTACCTAAGCCTGTAAGCCTGAAATACAGCGCCTTCGGAGAGATGAGTATATGCTGGTGTTTAGTTGATGCGGGTAGGTAGCAGCAAGACGAGGAAGGTGCTGTTGATGCCGGCAAACATCGAGGCAGGTGCGTAGGCCGAGGCGGGGGCTTGGCGGGCGGCGTGCCTGCCTTGCCTTAGGTAGGGTTACTTTACATTGCCTGAGGGGCTCTTGCTGTATCTGGCCTGCATCGCTCCCTGCGTAGGGCTTGCATATCCCCTCCGCTTTCTTCCACCTTCCATCTCATAGGTGTCATTGGATCTGTCAAGCATCGCGGTTTCTTCTCCCCCCTGACCCTTGACTCGCTGCGAGGCATGGCGATGATGCTACTCTTGATGACGAATGATGCCGCGATATCTTCTCTAGTTGCACCAGCAAGACTCACCGGATGGCCTCGGCGCATACCTCCTGCATCTGTCCTTGCCGATCGAAACGAGTTTGGCTGGGGTTTTCATCGGCCGTAACCGACCCATTCTACCAACTGAAAGCCGCCTCACCGCTGACTTTTTCGCGGACAGTAGGCCTCCGTTGCTGTGCATCCGGAAATCGTCGTCTCTTTATGAAAGTGTCTACACGAGAGAGGTCTGCGGTTTATCGTGCTTTGCTTCCATTGCGTATTCCCGTCTTTGGATGGAATGGCGAGATGTTGAACATCAACTGGCCTGCTGGGGTCCCTTTCCTCCGAGGGGCTGACACTTCGCTTTTGGCATAGCAAGTTGGGCAGTAGAGTATGGCATTCCCGTTCGGTCCGATGATGCCTTTTCTTCAAGGCCAAAGACGGCTGTCATCGCTGCACCAATGTTGGAATGCGGAAGGCGAGTCCGCCGAGTTCATGTTACTTCAGCCATTTCTTCACCACGAGGGTCGTTAGATTCGGCCCTCCTTGTCTTTGACTTGTCCGACTTCGCCCTATTGGGAACGATATTGGGAACACATTAAGATAATGTTGCAGGCAGGGTGTGATGGCTGTCTCAAAACATGTCATTCTACATGGCTTAGTGGATGGTCGAGCCCAACGAATAGGCCTGCATCCAAGTTTTGGCTGAGGTGGTGTTGCAGCGCCTCCCTCGTGGCATTTTCCTTGGGCAGAATGATGTACTGAGCCTTAAGCCCCCAGTCTACATGGCAACTCTCGGACTACGTACGCGGTGATTCCCTATCAGACAAGGTCCAGGATGGTACTTTGTAAAATGTGTCTCCAGGGACTGAAGCCGTGTACAAGGACCAGGGGGGGTATGCGGAACCACCCTGTCCGAAACAAAGGGATCTCGGGAGTGTCAAGTAAATCTATCTTATGGGGCCGGCGCTCTCCACGGCTGTTCTCTGAGCTTAACACGCTGGACTTAGATCCCCAAGAGGATACCCCCTTGCAACCTCAGTTTCGAAGCCAAGTCCCAGAATGCCCCGTTCTCCTTCCTGATGCAGGTCTCGTCGTAAGCATTTCTGGTTTTCTAATGATTAACAATTCACGCGCGCGGCCGCGGAGATGGTCCCCATCAGGGATCTTGGCGGACGGCATAGCAAGCGTTATGCCATCATCTGCATGGGTAGGCTGCTGCGGAGGCGGCACCCTGAGCACTTCGAGCCTCTATGACTACACTCAAGGCGAAAAGTCGGCCGATATTCGCCTCAGTTATTGAAACCACTAGCGGTCCAAAAGCTTTTTTGAGCACGGCAGGTAGCATTCACTCCCTCAAGAGCTCTATGTTATCATTTCGGCTGGTTGTTGCCGGATCCTAAACGTGGGTGGCCTCCCTTCCTTGGGGACATAAAGCTGCTGCCACTCCTCTCTCAACTGTCATCAGTTCATGTAATGGTCGAGAACTCTCATCTATTTCATCAGATTTCAACAGTGGTTTCTTTCAAGGCCAAGAAAATTCCCATTCTCTTATTACTCCACTGTTTATTATTCAGGTCTTCCTGTCTAAGTGGATGACGATCACTCACGCAGAGCACCTTTGAGAGTTCTCTTCCCACATTACCTCATCCGTCCAAGACTTGATTACATGGAACTGGCATGATCTAGTGTATGCGGCTATAAATCCTTGCCTTGGGACCTCCACGGATTGACCTTGCTTCCCCTCCTGTCTTCCACTGGAAGCGTCACGACAACTTCACTATGGCTGGATCACATTACACTCCCGAGCTTCTCGCTAAGTTCGCTAAGCGAACGAGAGACAACCACAATACCATGTATTTGTTCGGGATAATCATGGGCGGCATCTTGTTTATTTGTATGCTGTTTCATCTCATCAGAATACTGGGACGAAAGTGTCTCAGCCGAAAGCAGAGCAAGCCATCTGTATTTCAACTTGCAACGAGGCAAGCCCACAACCAAAACATTTAGCTTCGCTTGGAGTGCAGGGCTGACATTGTGGTGCAGGAAAATCAGGAATGTGGTAGTACGCAAAGCCCCCGTATCCTTCGCCCCGTCGATCGGTCATACCGCCGTCATCTTCCTCTACTTCGCCGCCAACATCATTCTCACCCTCACCAACCTGGATAACAAAAACTTTCCTATGCTGCCCAATATAGCCTCGAGAGCGGGATGGTAAGCCAACTCGACCCTGCTGTACTTATTTGGTGACGGGGAGAAGAAGCTAACTTGAACATACAGGATGGCGATTGGAAACTTTGTTCTTGTCGTCCTGTTAAGCTTGAAGAACACCCCCCTGGCCTTTTTCTCATGGTCCTACGAGCGATTGAATATCCTTCACCGATATGCTGGTTGGGTGACAGTCATCCAGGTCCTTGTGCACCTTTCGACCTACTGTGCCTATTTCGTCGCCGATGGCCGTCCGACGAGGCTGCTGGAACGGGAAGAAATCTATGGCATGGTTGCCGGTTGTTCGTTCTTCTTCCTTGCATTCTCGGGGATCGTCATCCGCCCTTGGTGGTATGAGCTCTTCTATGTTACGCACATATTTTTCTGGATCGTCGGCATTATTATGCTCGGCCTCCACCAGCCAGAGCTCAGCAAGAACATCCTTCAGGTTGTTGCTGCTTGTGGGGGCATCTGGGTCTTGGACAGACTTTTGAGAATAGGCCGGCTTCTGATCAGCAGTGTGTCTAACGAGGTCACATTGTACCCCCTCTCCGACGGTGCAACTCGGGTGTGCTTGAAGAAGCCCCCAATGGGAGCAGCTGCAGGAAAGCACTGCTTTTTATGGATCCCCAAGATTCGACAGTTTGAGACACACCCTTTTACAATTGCATCCTTGCATCCCATGGAGTTTGTCATTGCTGCCCAGGATGGTTTCACAGCAGATCTCCACAGATGGGCCGTCACACATCCAGGAATCACTCTCAAAGCTAGTGTTGATGGCGCCTATGGTTCAACGCCCAACATTGCCAATTTTGACAAGACCATTATGGTTGGTGGAGGCTGCGGTGCCTCATTTGTCTTCGGTATGGCTCTGGATGCTTTGAAAAGAATACCCGAAGATAGAAATGAAGCTATTTTGCTCATCTGGATTGTGAGAAATGCGAGTAAGTACAGAGAGAACCCCCGATTCGACTAAATACGAAAACCGCGCTGACAGACTCGATAGCACAACTGCCTTGGTACGCCCGGGATGTAAAGAGACTGCAGTCGGATGGGCGTGTAAGCGTTAAGCTTTTTGTCACCAGATCCCCTAGCCTGAGAGACTCGGACACCGATTCCGACGAAAATATGTTTACACGATCTGCCCCAGGCTCCTCGTCAAACAAAGAGGAAGGAGCAGATGTCGATCCAGAGAAAGGGGGTATTCTATCTGAGAGCGAAGATGTTGGATATACGGCCACGCACTTTGGAAACGCCCCAATCGCCTACGGTCGACCTGATGTTGGCTCTCTAATAGGAGACGCAATCCATGAGATGAGCTCGGAGAAGCACGTGCTGGTTCTGGGCTGCGGACCTAGTGGATTGATGGAAACAGTTCGAAGCAAGACGGTGTCCTGTCTTCATGGCGAGGCACCTTCAGTTGAACTTCACTGCGAGGAATTTGGATGGTAAATGGCTTGATGATGCTTTTCCTTACTTTTCGGCCTGTCTATAGAAGGAATTCGGGCCCTCTCACTTGGACTCGGGGAATATTTATTCGGTTTGGTTGAACAGGCGCGCACATGGGGTTTTAGATTATGATTTTGATATACCACTACCTGCAATCTATCTACATTTATATCGAGTATAGATGCTTCGAAGTGAAGTGAGTTAGTGGGGGCTCACTGAACCTCGGTTGCCTCGACTCATCGTTGTCTATTTACTTGTTGGAGCTGTAGTGGAGTAACGTTTTTCTTATCATTGCTCGAATGCGGAGAAGATAGATTGCATGTAAGTCCATCGGCCATGTCCATCCTCGCATATCAGTCAAACCCACCCCCCTCTATCTCTCTATCTCTCTATCACTACGTATCAATCAATCAGTCGATATGCGTGGCATGTGTTATCCGCGCGCCTCCAGCCCTCCCCACACCACCCGGTCAGCTGGTATATGAACAACGTTCCATCCCTCGCTTCACAGTCTCCATGCTACGTCGTGACATGCTGAATACCACCCTTGGTGACCGTAGTCGTCCCAGATGCCGCCGCCTCTACAATTCCATCCCCCTTTGGTCAATTCGGCCTGCCCCTGGGCAACAGATCTGGCATGTCTGAAGGCCCTCCTGGACTCCCCTTCAACGGGAGCCGTGACCACCAGGACGTCGCTGCTCGCCGGATTCGACCACCAGCCAGAGCGGCACCGCTTCACCTTCTTCGACCCCGGCGCCTCCAACACCCCGGATGGAGACACATATTCCTTCCCAGATGAGCCAGGACGGGCCACCACAGCCAGCAGCCTCGGCCCCTCTGACGCAGCGCACACTGCCTCCCTCAACACCCTGGGCTACTCCCCCATCCCCCTCCAGGGCTACCTGGACATGATCCGCCAGCTCGCGTCCGACCTTGCCCCCTCGGCGCCTCGCAAGACCTTCATCGTCAGCGTCACCGGCTCCCCAGACGACATCGCAGCCTGCTACGCCGCCGTCGCCGCCCTCGCACCGCAGGTCCCCTTCCCCCTCGCCCTCGAGGTCAACCTCAGCTGCCCCAACATCCCTGGCCGGCCCCCGCCCGCCTACGACCCGGCCTCCCTGCGTCTGTATTTGGCCGCCCTGCCCGGTAGCCCCGCCATCCCCTTGGGGTTCAAGACGCCGCCCTACACCCACGCGGGGCAGTACCAGTCCCTGCTGGGCACGCTGCGGGAGGAGCGCGCCGGCGCCAAGCTGAGCTTCATCACGGCCACCAACACCCTCGGGTCCTGCCTCGTGATGACCTCGATGGGGGGTGATGATGATGGCGGGGTCACGACGACGGGGCCAGCGTTGCCGCTTGGGGACAGCGGAGGCATCGGCGGGATGGCGGGCCCGCCGCTGCACCCTCTGGCGCTGGGGAACGTGGCGACGATCCGGAGGATGCTGGACGAGGGGGACGGCAGCCTGCGCCATATTGCCATTGTGGGCGTGGGCGGCGTGAGCGATGGGGGCGGGTACAGGCGCATGAGGGCCGTCGGTGCCTCCATGGTGGGCGTGGGGACTGGGCTTGGGAGCGAGGGTGTCGATGTCTTCGCCAAGATTGAGAGGGACATTGGGTCAAAATGGTGAAACTGCTTCGGATGCAGCCAAGAGGCCAGAAATCACCACGTATGAGCACGCTCCTGCATGATGTTGGTCATGCACTTTTGTTACTGAGAGGTGTCTCATTGAGCAAGCTCAGTGAGGCAGATTTGTGGTGTGGATCTGATTGAAAAGATCCCAAAGAATTGCGCATTAGTATGTATATACTTTCGAGTCTAAATACATGGCCAAGGTATATATATACATGTCCATCGCCTTTGTGTATTTGATATATCCCCATGACATGAACTCATAACTCATAAGTCCCAAACACCGGACTAAGCTCCAAAAAACAGACGCTTGCTACCCAAAGAGATAAAATTGTAAACGATAACCGCCCAATGGAGAAAAGTGGTATAGATGAATAAAATATCCAAGCCGGAACGCCTTGGCACTAAGTGGCCTTTTCCTTTCTGTAGAGAGCTGATATCATTTGGTGACCCTGTCTTCATTATGTAAAAATCCTCCGACAAAAGACGAGGACTTCCTCCGGGGTATTGGTAATCTGAAACCTTTGAAGTTCCCGAAAAGGGTTTTTTGATTTTCGTTCGAGGCTTCCCCTTGGTGTAAATCATTGGACGTGACGTCGTGAGACGGGGCCTCCTCATCACCTATAGAATTAGGAACCTTGGGAATCGGATCGACCATTGTTCTAACATCTTTGACGCATTCGAGAAGTAGCATATATGCCATTATGAGAACCTGAAGAACGACAATAAGGATATAGCTGATGCGGACCGAGCCGCCGCTGGCCACAATCCCGTACATGATGAATGGAGCAATACCTCCACCGGAATTACTCATGGTGAGAAAGGCGGCCGCCCGCTTGGTACGCCGCCCCTGGCCGCGGAGACCGATGGCAAATATGAGGGGCCAGGTGGGACCTTCGAAAAAGAAGAAGAGGATAACCGGGATGACTAGGAGGTTCGGGTTGGACAGGTCGAGGACGACCGGGAGAAGAGCGAAAATGAACGAGAAAACGAGAGAAATCGAGAGAAGTTTACGCGGCTTTGGGAAGCTGGGGCGTGTGCCGGATAGGTACAAAAGGTAACTGAATAGAATACGGGAGACGGCAAAAGCCCCGTGACCAATAAGGAGGTAGTCTGGGATAGACACTGCAATCCCCGGAGGCCTGTCCGAGGCAACGGGGTTTGTCGTCTCAGTAGTCACACCGCTGCTGGTGTTGGGTGGGATTGTCGAGAGGAGTAGGGCACGGAAATATGTGCTGTTGCATTCTTGAGCGCCGACATAAAACCATTGCGCGAGAACAGCAAGAATAATAGCAACGGTGCGAAGTTGAAGACCGATAGCCGTCTTTTTCTTTGGATCTACTGGAATGCGCTTGGTCGAGTCCTCGAGCTCTTGGTCGCTTACCTCGGGAAGAGGCATATAGAAGAAGAAGAGACCCAGAGCAGCGCAGAGGAGCGTGATGGCCAGGTAAGTCCATTGGACGTTGATAAGTACCGTGCTTGAGGAATAGCCGTCATCCCCAACATTGGTGAAGAATACCTTGTTGGCGAGGATGCCGGACAAAACACTTCCAATCGCCTGTATGGCCTGACATATCATCAACCTTGTCTCGCCGTGTTCTCTGGGTCCACAAAGAACAATGAAGGTGTTCGCGGCCACCTCTGTCGCATCGGCTATCAGTCTTTCGATCATGAAAGGGCAAGTACCTTGAAGATGCTTACCAAGGATGCTAAGTCCAAACCCCACGACAAAATTTGATACCATAAAGCCAGCGTATGAGTGAGTGACGGCAGAGGGCCAGAATATTATTGTTCCGATCCCCTTAATGCGTTGAAGATATTAGCGTGACCCTCCTGCAATGGCTTCTGCGGTTCTGCGGAAGGGGTATTAACTTACGTAAAAGCAAAGACCACAGATGAATGTGACCTTGAAGCCGCCTACATTCTCTTCCTCGTTTTTACTATGCCTCCTGGAACGATTGTGTTCATCTCGGCGAAGAATCCACTCTCCAACCAGTATAGGGCCAACCAAGTAACCACCTGCCCAGTATGCACTAGTCAACCCAAGAGTCTGAGGCTGGGTGAAGTTGTTGATGGCGGCCACAACAGTGTTGAGTGTGTTTAGCAGGCCGTATGACATGCCCCACAAAAGGAAGAGAATAGCTACAATACTGCAGTATTTGAGGGACTCGGAAGCTGATGTTTTCAGCATGCTCTTGGGTTTGGACATATTGACGAAACCAAAATAAACCGAGTGCTCATCAGTTAAAGACGTTGATCCTGTGATATCCGTCCGAGCGCGTGAGAAGGCAGATAACCGGGGAGAAGGGTTGGCCTGCGGCAAATGCGTCATCTCGGGCGTAGTGAGGAACTCGAGTGCGGCGGATGCATGCTGGTCATTTGCAGGAGCCGGGCCATTCAGCGATTCACCAGCTCGGGTTGGGTTGGTAGGGGAGGGGTTCTCGTCACTTGGACGGGAGAGGCTTCCATTGGCGGCATTATCTGAATCATTGCGGCTCTTCGATGCCGTCGTTCGTGAACTGTTAGGGTCGGAAAGCATCGACGGAAGGATCTTGAGAACCAGGGGTTTGAGAGTTGGAATACAAGCACAAGTCATGCCGATGTTCACTTCAACAGCGCTCCACATGAAGGAGAGCGATGCATTCCAAGCAAAATCATCCTGGCCGCCAAAAGTAGTGTTGGTTTCACCGATCGGGATATCTGATATCGCACTTTGTATGGTGTGGATACGAACGACATCGATGACGGTGACTATGACTTGTCTTAGTTTCCATGAAGAGTTTTAACAGACGCAAATAGTAAATGCACAAGGCATCATTCACATACCAAATATTGCTAGACCGAATGTAAAAATGAGAATGGCCTTTTGCTTTATTGGGAGTCGCACTGCAGTTGGAGGGAAAGAAAGAAAACGTGAGCAAACTTATTTGTCATCGACTAGGGGAGGATGTTAGTTGACCTACTTCTTGCGAGAGTTGCTAAAGGCAACGCTAACAGAGCTAGGTCTGTCACAACGTTGACAGGAGATGCGCAGATGAATTCAGTGAGGAGAGGAAGGCAAGTTATCTTGCCTTCATAGAACGGGTTCCAGGCAGAACTGATGGGACTACACTCTATAGCGAAACGGTCAGCTTTCGAACAGAGAACTGGCGGATAAGTGTGCATACGAAAGATGTTGATCATCGTGAGAACAAAACTAGCAACATTGACAATGACGAGTAAGAAGTAGCTGCTATAACGGAGAACGAGCTGCGTGTGTTTGGCCAGCCGTAAGTAGAATATCAACACGCTCGTTTTGATGAGGGCCAAGGCTGGATTCTGTATTGATATATGGTGTTAGCTAAGAGATCAATCTCATAGGGAATGCTTGGGT